TCCCGGGTAAAGGCCTCAATCAAACCCGTGTGGATGCGGCCATTGTAGCACATTTTTTTCGAAAAAAAGGGCTAAAGCACATTAAAAAAAAATAGGAGGGGTTAGGGGCACATTGAAAGTTCAAATTTGAGGTCTAGAAGCAATTTTCCCTTTTTTTAAAAGGGGAAGTAGCCAAAATGGCAAATTTCTCAAGTGCATAAATACTCGGATTTTCCCGCTAAGAAACTCGTAATCGCAACAACTTGTACAGAATTCCTCCCCACTCAAAAAAAGACCAGTGAATACCAGAATACTAACTTGCAGCAAGACTTTACGTGTTAGTCATAATAGTTCATTAATTAAAAAGATAAAACAGAGAAACATATTTTGAATTAAGAAGGTGGATATTTCCAACTAGAAGAAAAACTCCTACACAGAATAAGTTGCTTATCGAGCTTGTGACATTACCCACATCTTTTACGCTACGCTAAAGGTTTAGATATCCAAGGACACATTTAATGGTGAAACAAGAAAAATAAGAGCATCTCCAACAGCTTCCTCATCTTCTTGAAATACTCAAATTTGGAGAATATAGAGCTTTTTTTGGTCCAACAGATTCCCCATCCCATTCCCTAAAATAGAAAGAGAAGAAAAAATAGGGAGCCTTCCCCAAATCTGTAGCATTCTCCAAATTTTTGGGGAGAGCTTTATTATTGTAATAAATGCGATTTTTTAAAATGGGGAAGCTGTTGGAGTTGGAGCAAAAATAATTTGGAGAATATGACTTTTGTTTCTCCATTTTGGAGAAAATTTTGGGAAAGCTGTTGGAGATGCTCTAACACTAGGTGTCTACATTATGCCAAGATTTGCTCCTCTTTAATAAATGACACCCTCCTGCTTACTTAGGGGCTGTTTGGTTGTATATTTTTACCATGTAAAAGGATGTAAAGTGTAAAAAAGTGGGTCCCAATGTCAGCTTTCATCACTTTCAATTGTTTGTTTGTAGTTGTGAAAATAGTGTAAAGTGATTTCATATGCTGATGTAGCTTGTAAAGTGATTTCATGAAAAAAAAACATGATTTTAGGGGCTGTTTGGTTGTTGTTGGTAAAGTTGTGTATTTATGACACAATTTGGAAAGTTGTTGTCCACCTCATCAATTTCAATTTTATACTTTTCTTTGTTTGTTTTTTATTCCATTGGAATCATAAAACACTTGTTTGGTTTGCAAAATAAAACTTTAATTGTTTGTTTGGAAAGTGTAAAAAGTGGTCCCTACTCAAATGATCATATTGGTTGGAATTATTTTTTATTATTTTTTCCTAACTTTAATGTTAGCTTTCTCCTAAAATCATGTCTTTTTTTCATGAAATCACTTTACAAGCCACATCAGCATATGAAATCACTTTACACTATTTTCACAACTATAAACAAACAATTGAAAGTGATGAAAGCTGACATTAGGACCCACTTTTTTATACTTTACATCATTTTACATGGTAAAAACATACAACCAAACAGCCCCTTAGGAGAAAGCTAACATTGAAGTTAGGAAAAAATAATAAAAAATAATTCCAACCAATATGATCATTTGAGTAGGGACCACTTTTTACACTTTCCAAACAAACAATTAAAGTTTCATTTTGCAAACCAAACAAGTGTTTTATGATTCCAATGGAATAAAAAACAAACAAAGAAAAGTATAAAAGTAAAATTGATGAGGTGGACAACAACTTTCCAAGTTGTGTCATAAATACACAACTTTCCCAACAACAACCAAACAGCCCCTTACTTTTTAGTTGCAGAACAATACCTCTATACATCTACCCAAGAGAAGTGGGTAGGTGAAGTCATCATATCTAGAACGCTTAAAAGAGGTCTGAGAAGGTATCCTCATTCAAATGTGATGTATTAAAGACAGCGAAGCTCTCAATAGCTTCACCCATCAACTGCACGTATCTGTATGTGTATAAAATCAAAGTCACAGTTACGTCTAGTGAAAGCAAATCAAAGCTCCCCCACATTAAAGCACCAGTATATTTTGCAGCTGGATCTTGAGGTTGGTGCTAAATAAATTTCACAAGAAATAAATTGACCTTGTGAACAGGCACAGGCGTATCAATTAACGGAATCAGATACCACTAAATTCCAACTTTATTCCACAACTGTATCGAAATTGCATTAACAGACAATACTAAATTTCAACATGTTATGTGGAGTATATGGAGTAATGCATAGAAGTTGTTGGGGATTCAAGCTACTCGACCACCTGTCAAATATGAACTGCTGCCGGATCTTGTGTAAAGACAATAGAAAGAAGAAATCACAGCTAATTAAAAAATTACAAGAAAAAAGAACACCGAGTTTTAACAACTTGCCTACGTCCTCATGAGCCACACAAATAATTTCCTTTAATGGAAAGAAGATTACAACCTGCAAAGAACAGATCACAAACTTGAGATCTCTCAATAAATGCAAAGTTATTAATTGTAGCTACAGTATAATAACCCCTCTTAAATCTCTATTTTATTCCTCTTTACAGTGAGAATCCCCTCTTTAATCCCCCTTTTAATCACCCCCTCAAAACGTTTGAGAGCAGAGGGGAAAAGGAGAACGAGGAGAGAGTTTGCCGCCGCCTGAA